AGGAAGTTAATTCACCTGTGCTACATGTCACCCGTGCCACCGCGCATCTCAATAGCACGTTTAGTGAAAGCATTCAGTACAACCGTTAGCTCTATGGGTGGTACGGCGATTATGCAACATGCTCTTCTCAATTGCATATGCTTGGATGTTGCTGGAGCGCCCGACATTCTTGGCTGCTGCTTTCTTGTCTTCTGCTAGCTTCCTGGGCTGCTCATCGGCCTATGTCAGGCAACGACAACAATGCGCGCGAACAACGCCAGGAGGACTGCCGCGATGGTCCACGAGATAGTGGACACTCGCCCGGAGAGTGCGCCGCCGTGTGCCTCTCCTACTTGGTATTGTCCCACAGTCCTTGCAGGTGAGAGCAATGAAACGAACGCTAGAACCGACTCCCGAGAGATTCTTACATCCTCGAGCACAGGGATGAGGCAACTGGGGATTTGGAGGTCTCCTGACCAGGCCAGAAGAATAACTCGAAGACGGCGACGCTGTGTTGCTGGAAACTCTCGGTTCCGAAACTTTCACAAACTGTCGGTCCTCCTTCCGAGTGAGGTTACTATCGACCCATCCTAAGAACAGAACCAGATCCTCACTTGGTTTCTTCACCTTGCGACTCCAATCCGCGTAATCTGGAGTTCCCCTGAGAACGCGACCATAGCTGGGCCCCGTGCGCTGACCCGAAGCACACGCAGCATCCTGACCAGGAACAGAGATAGGATCCGAAACAGATCCCCCCCAAAACATCATCAGAAACGCTAGCCATATTAGGATTCCGTCGACCGAACAGCCATGAACCCGAGAGCATCTCCCTCAGCCTTTGCAGAGGTCTGAAGACACTTCTCCGGGAGCTCTGGAGGCCCCTGAACTGGAGCGGCTTCGGTCACTCCCACGCGACTCACGCAGACATGTCTCTCGACGCGGTTGCGCTGCAAGCTGCGCTGTCCGTCGCAAGCGCCCCCCCCCCCCCCCCCTCTCATGCGCGCGCGCCCTGTGACGCGCGGCGTGAGAATAGAACGCAGAGCAGACGCGAGGAACGCCAGGCAGGGTCCATCCTCATCAACTCCTCCTTGCCACTAATGAGATGACGAGGGATTGATGATGATGCAGCAACAGAACAGACGGATGCGAACGCTCGTTCGTCATCGTCCTCGCGCAACTAGACATGGCGCTCGCCAGTTTCTCCTGCGCGCGCTACCATTGCCGCCCTGGGCTTGCCCTTGCATTCAGGGCCCCCGGACCAGTGCCCTGTTTCGCGGCAGGTCTTGCATGTCGAGCGTCTCTTGATATCCTGGAGCCGCTTCTTGCGGCCTTCCAGGGAAGCTCCTCCCGCGTCGCCTCCCTTGGGCGACCAGGGCGTGCAATGGTAGCCCTTGCCTCCGCTCTTTCCCTTGCCCTTCCCCCTCCCTTTGGTGCCGAGGTTGGCGACGCGGCGTCGGGAACTTCTCCCCCCGCGCGGCCTCGACCGTCTCGTCGACCGCCTCGACGTCAAGCTCGCTGCTATCCTGGACAGGGGCCCAGCGAGCATGCGATTCCTCGTCGACGTAGGTGTCTTCGTCGGCGAAGTCATCCCAGGCCGCGTCGCCCCAGCCGTGCTCTGGCGCATGGCCGGACGCGTGGTATCCGTAGGGGCTCAGCTCCTCAGGGTAATGCTCCTCCTGCTCGTGCCATCCATCATCAGCAGTGTAGAAGGCGCGTTGTGGCCTGGAGAAGCGCACCTTGCCCTTGCCCTTGCCCTCGCTCCTGTTCTGGGGGCTGGGTCTGGGCTGCGCCCACGTCGAAGAGCTGGGGCCTTTACCGGGCTCACCCTTGCCTTTGTGGCTGATGTGTATGCGGCAGTGCTGGAGGATCAAGACGTCCTTGATATTGTCGAGGGTTGTCACACTTCCCGTCGATGTCAACGCCGTCAGATTTCCCGAAGGCGAGAGGCCTCCATGGTCCAAGAGACAGGAGCCAAGCATATCGTTGCTCATCAAGATCTTAGGATCTAGCTTGGAGACAAGTGTCCACCGGCGCTTCCTTCGGGAGATGTACGGGACCATAGACTCACCGTGCTGCTGAGACAGTGGTCCACACAGTCTCTGCCCCACCTGGAACAAGATCTTCGCTTCCTGCGCCTCTATGGGGAAGAGTGAAGTACGAATCGCCGGCAGCAGCTGATCGATCCCATTCGGAATCAGAAGCACGTCCTTGCCGATATCCATGGCAACACCGAATGCGTCACCACTGAGGCCTTCTACAACCTTGTTGACAGCTGCGGTGATCACGCGTTGCTGTGGTGCACCCGTCTCTTGATCCACTGAGGCCAAAGCGGCGCTCATGCGCATCTCTGTGCGGAGTTCCCACTCGTGAAAATTGTTCACCGTGCCGTCGTAGATGCAGGAGCCGCTCTTCGTCTCGGACCGCGTCAGCGCGTCGGCGCTCGGCCGATAGCGAAGAGAAGAAAGTGCCATGGCTCAAGGCCCAGTCCCCTGGCGAGGGAAACTGCCAGTACAGATTGTGAAGAGAGGTAGTGCGGCACTCTCCGACGAGACGTGCGCGCATAGGTACGATACGGGGATCGTGTGGTAGCTCCGCTACCAGTGTGCTTATGATGCGTTTTAGCGCAATGGCAAAAAGGGGCCCCTAGAGGTCAAACGGCAGCGAGTGGTGCATATACGCACGTGACACATGCACTATGTCACACAAGCCGTTGATGTCTTTGCTGTAAGCAGGCTGCTAACAGTCCCCAGTCCCATCGGGGCCGCGATCTGTTACGGTCGTGTTTTGGCGCAGAGATGCGAACTACCATAATCATGGGGACGTGGTCGATGACGGGTATGTGTGCGGAACTGCCATGAGGTAGTCTAGGCCATAGTCATGTTGGCGATGGCGAGCATGATGTTGGTCGGGGCGGTGCAGTAATCGATGCGGCTCTGCGAACCATTGTTGCCGAAGTAGATGGGCCCCAGGTTCCTGTAGCTGTTGATCGAGCTGAGCTCGTTGGTGATCAGGTCGGTGTGGCTGTGACGAGTTAAATCGTTCCAGGGCTTGGTTGACAAGGACCAGTGATGGCGTCCACGCGCTCGTCGTTGCCAATCAACGCAAATGGTAAATTCATGTCGCAAAACATGATCGGCACCGTCGGCATGGGCCTGCTGTTGAACTGGTGCAAGATCCATTTCCGCAGCTGTAGGTACGCATTCTTCCAAAACTGGTGTTCCCGCGCGATGTGTGGCCGAGGTGAATAGTAGGCGACAATGTATATGAATCGATGCGGTCCCCGTTGAAAATCGAGGCTTCCTGCGCGTCCTAGTAGATGGTGAGGTGCCGGTACACCGCGGGCGTTGTTCTTCTCGCGGTGCAGCTTCCTCAACAACCCGATGCTGCACCCAGTGCTTGACTTGGTGCCTGCTGCCCGAGCCCATCCAAAATGTATCCAATGATGCAACTGTGTGCGTTTTCGGTGATGTGTGGCTCCTGGTTGGTTGCGTACCTTGGTGCCTGGGGCGGGGATTGCGTCCATGTTGCGGATCTCCGTGCTGACGGCCTCCAGGCGGCCCTCGTGGCTCTTCAAGCTGAACGGGCTCCAGCCGACGAGGGTGGTGCCGCGCAGAAGTTTAGCGACGTTGGCGTGGCCATCCAACCTGTCCGCAGAACTCGTCATGCCGCGTAGCAGCGCGAACTGCAACCGCGGCCGCACTGGCATGAGGTCATGCCATCTCGTGGCGCCATGCAACCCTACGGGGAGAGGCATCACGAATGCGGAGGCCACTGCGGCTGGGCGGACTTGAACAATTCGTGGCCTTGACGACGACGATGATGGCGAAAACGATGCCGACGACGCCGACGCCGACGCCGATGTCGATGCCGATGTCGACGCCGACGCCGACGCTGCCGACGCCGACGCCGCCGACACCGACGCCGACGCCGACGACGACGACGACGACAGAGGGGAGCAGGAGAAGGGGGCGGGCTGGCCCGGCGCAGGGGCGGAATGGCAGAGTCATCCCTGCTGTTCTCCTGCACCCCATCCCATTCGACTTTGCAATGGTCGTTTGTTTATTTGTTATTGCTGCGCATCTGTGTGTAAACGGTGATGAACTTTGCTTAACGGGTCGCGGTGGCGGCCCCGGTGACACGCGATGCCCTGCGTGTCGCGCCGCTCCGCGGGGCGGTAAGCTGGGAAAATCTCTGGGACGCTCGGGGACTGGGACGTGGTTGGCGCGTCGCGCCGAAGCGCGGTGGGCCAGAACCCGGCGCGCAAACGCTCCCGACGGTATGCGTAAAGTGCAACCGTGCAGCCGTATTTTCTGTATCCCCTGAGTCTTGAGTGGTCGGGGTAACGCCCTGACGCAGAGCCCGGAACATGCTGACATGAGGACATGCGCATGCTGCACCCCCCACGCTTTACCGCTCCCATGCCTCCTCCCATCCATGTCCTCGTTGCTTCCCTCCCTCCTCCTTCCCCTTCCTCCTCCTCCTCTTCCTCCTCCTCGTCCTCCTCGTCCACCTCCTCTACCTCCACCGTTCCCATACCCTGCCTCCCCCCCGTGCCGCTCCATCCCTGCCCTTCCCCCTTCACTCCCGCCGCCCCGTTTCTCTCCCCTCCCTCTCCCCCAAGCCCGCTCCTACCGCTCACAGCCCCTGCTGCCGCTCCTCCTCCCCTTCCCCTCCAACTCCTGCTGCTCCTATATTTCCTGTCTTCTCCTCATCGTCGGTCTCCTCCTCCTTCTCCTCGCCTTTCCCCGTCATTCCGTCTAACTCCTCCACCTCCGATTTCTCCTTCTACCTTTATTCTCCTCCTTTTTATATCACGCGCGTGGTCGTCTTCGTTTCCGCTGCCGTGGTGGTGGTGGTGGTCTTTGTCGTCCCCGTCCCCGTGGAAATCGCCGCCGCCGTCGTCGTCGCCGCCGCCGTCTTTGTCGACGATGTCGTCAACGTCGACGATGTCGCCCACGTCGACGTCGACGTCGCCGCTGTCGCCCAGGAGGGAAGGGTCGCTCTCGCGCAGCCACGGCGGCCTCCGCCGACTGGCGGGGGCGGCTGCGGCGGCAGTGGGTAGCTCTTGGCATCCCAGCCT